GCCAGTTGAGTGACTTTGGGCCAATCACCAGGAGACTGTGAGTTCTAGTCCCGCCTTGGGCATGAAAGCCAGTTGAGTGACTTTGGGCCAATCTCCAGGAGACTGTGAGTTCGAGTCCCGCCTTAGGCATGAAAGCCAGTTGAGTGACTTTGGGCCAATCACCAGGAGACTGTGAGTTCTAGTCCCGCCTTGGGCATGAAAGCCAGTTGAGTGACTTTGAGCCAATCACCAGGAGACAGAGAGTTCCATGAAAGCCAACTAGGTAACTTTGGCCCAATCACCAGAGGACGATGAGTTGTAGTCCCGTCTTGGTCCTCTTTTCTTAGCTGTTTCCCAGGGGTTGATTCCCTCTTGAGTCATAAGAGAAGCTGTTCTTTGTTACCAGGAGGGCAGAAACCATCACAGTGCAAAAGCTTGTTTTGCATTTTGAAGCTGGTTGGTCCGATGGGAGGCATATTTTTTAAAAATCTGCTTTCTGTTCTTTGCTCTGTGAAATTGACGGGGCTGCAAAGGGTGACCAGCTGTGGATAGATTTATTTATTTTTTTTGCTGTGGGCGAAGCTGATCATATAAGCTGAGATATTTTTTTGTTTTTTTGTTTTTACTTTTTGCCATAATGTGGTAATAATTTAACTGCTGGCCAGAATGCTCCGGCCAGCTAAATTTCTTTCTGTTTTATTTTTTAGCCAAGGGCTTCCAATCAATTGCACGGCTGGTTTTAAGGTGTTGCAGGAGAACGCTTTGCTTCCTTTTTCTTGCACGCTGATTTTTTGGGGCAATCAAACTGCATCAGGCTTCAGACGTATTTATTGACTTTTAGTTCTTCTCTGTCACAAATATTGCAGGGGAGCCTTTTAGAAAATGCAGAAGCTGCCCTAAAGATCAATAAAATCTCCATGTTCTGGCATTTGTCCTCCAAGGTGCTCCATGTGCACTCTGAGCATTCTCTAAGTGGTTTTACAGAGTCAGTCTCTTACCCCCAACAATCTAAGTTCTCATTTTACCCACCTCAGAAGGATGGAAGGCTGAGTCAACTTTGAGCCTGGTGGGATTCAAACTGCCAAATTGCAGTCAGCAGAAGTAACCTTCAATACTGTACTCTAACCACTGTGCCACCACAGCTCATTGTTTATCATCTATCATCTATCAATCAACTATCAATCCATTACCTATATACTCTCCCATCTCGTCCGTCCGTCCATTCATCCATCCATCCATCCATCCATCCATCCATCTAATCTGTCCGTCTGTCCATCCATCCTAACTATTCATCCATCCATCCATCCAATCTTCTCTATCCATCCATTACCTATCTCCTGTCTCATGCCATCCATCCATCCTATTATCTTAACTATCCGTTTGTCTATTCATCGTATCTATTCATCCACCATCTATTCATCCATCCATCCATCTATCCATCCATCCATCCTATTATCTTAACTATCCGTTTGTCTGTTCATCTTATCTATTCATCCACTATCTATTCATCCACCATCCATCCATCCATCCATCCATCCATCCATCCATCCATCCATCATATTATCTTAACTATCCGTTTGTCTGTTCATCTTAGCTATTCATCCACTATCTATTCATCCATCCATCCATCCATCCATCCATCCATCCATCCATCCATCCATCCATCCATCATATTATCTTAACTATCCGTTTGTCTGTTCATCTTATCTATTCATCCACTATCTATTCATCCATCCATCTACTCTTATTTATCCATCCCTTACTATCTACTCTCTTGTCTGTCCATCCATCCATCCAATCTTATCCAATCTTATCTATTCGTCCATTACCTATCTACTCTTCCATCTCGTCTGTCCGCCCACGCATCCAAAGGCTGCCCATCTTAAGCAAATCTCCACAGCTCACAGCAACCACAACAACCACGATAACAAGAATGTACCAGACTGGGAGACCACCCTTTTGGGGGAAAGAAACGGAAAGCCTTGTGTATGTTAGCCAGTCCATTCCTAAAGCCAAATGACACTCTGCCCCAAAGATAAATTTCCCCAACAGAGAAGTACTTGAACTCAGCTGTTTATTGCTAACCTTAGACGTCCCTTCGAGTAGATCATACGTTTCAGTTTTCTGGTGGCTATCATTGCCCATTTCCCAACTGGGAACTTGGCCAGATTCAGCCTTCGCCGGTGGCCCCTTTTAACATGCAGCCACGTTGCCTTGCATCGAAGGGAGGGTGTCAGGAACGCAATTGATTCTCTATAAAAATCATTGTCTTGCCTTCACGCCGATTTGCGTAACAAATGGCGTTGGGACTCTCCCCGTGTGTGAGGACTCCCATTATTTCAGATTATCTATCTCTGTCTGTCTGTCTGTCTATCTATCTATCTATCTATCTATCTATCTGTATCTATCTGTCTGTCTGTCTGTCTGTCTGTTTGTATCTGTCTGTCTGTCTGCCTGCCTGTCTGTCTGTCTATCTATCTATCTATCTATCTATCTATCTATCTATCTGTATCTGTCTGTCTGTCTATGTCTCTCTCTCTCTCTCTCTCTCCTGCCTGAGAAGCACAGCTGTATAAGCGGCTGGCATGATTTGAAAGGTTCTTGGCATTCATTAGGTTTCATTTCTTGTTTGAAGGGCTCGTGCCTCCGCAGTGAGGAACTTTGTGTTTTGTGGCTAAAGGGCAAGCCCCCCTCAGACGCTTTCGAAATAACAAGCCTCGCTCTGATGGAAGGCCTTTTAATCTTCTGGCAAGGCTGGAGCTTGTTGTTAGGAAGTGCTCAGTTTTTAATTAGTCAGGGAGTTGCAGATTGTTCTCCTCTTTCCTTGATCTTAGCAGCAGTAGCAATAGCACTTAAACTTATCTTCCGCTTTATAGTGCTTTCCAGTCCTCTATAAGCGGTTTACAGAGTCGGCCTATTACCCCCCTCCCCCCAACAATCCATGGCCCCATTTTGCTGACCTCGGAAGGATGGAAGGCTTGAGTCAACCTTGAGCAGGTTAGGATTGAACTGCTGGCAGTGGGCAGAGTTGGCCTTGCAATACTGCATTCTAACCAATGTGCCACCACGGT